CACTGGATAGCTGGCCAATCAGCGTACACCTCGCTTTTCAGACCGATGAGCTTTGTAAAAATAGACACGTTTCAGAAAGGCGGAGCATAGAGGAGAAACAACAATGTACAGTATGTGGAAAATAATGTGTTTTTTTAACCTTAAACCGCATAAACACATTTCATTAGACCAAATACACAAAATAATGTTATTTTTAGCAACATCATATGACCCCTTTAATGAAATTGATTGGGTAAGTGTTTGGTTATTACCTCATAAGCTTTTTGTTACGAACAAGGTGAAAGAGATTTATTTTAAGATAATACACAAATTCTACCCTGTCAAACATTTACTTAGTAAGTTTAAGAAAGATATTGATGTTAGCTGCTCTTTTTGCTCTTTGCATTTGGAAACAGTACCCCACATTTTCTGGCATTGTAGTCATGTGAAAAAGTTATGGTATGATGTATCTGTTTATTAAGAAAAAGGTACTCTTTACTTTTGTTTTGCATTTTGAAAATGTAATTTTTGGATTTCTAAAGTATGATAACTTACACCCTTTTTTTGTAATTAATCTGTTAATTTAATTTTATTAGTCAAATTTCACATTCATAAGTGTAAGTTTTCTAACAAAAAGCCTCTTTTCTCAAAGAATTTGAAAAGTACTGTTCTACTATTCTAGTAATAATGGAAAAGCTATAAAGACTGTTCATCTGTGTAATATCTTCAAACTCTTTGAATGATACAAATGTCTTGTATCTCTGTGAATGTATGCTTTGCTTTTTTATTATTATTATTATTGTGTGTACGGCCCTGGTTCCAAAGTATATGTTGTATATTGTTATCTAAAGCAATAAAAATATCTCTCTTTTTGCTCCGTTTGAGTGAACTTCCGGTCTAATCCTCTTCAATCTCATTATGTCTCTTGAAACTGATGGAAAATGGAAACTGAAGTCAACCGTGATGTATGGACCTGTTTAGTGAATTGTGTTACCGGCACGTAATTTACATTATATTTACATAACTAAATATTATATATTACTTTATTTCAAAATGAAAACACATTTAATTCATGAAATTAAATACAATAGCCAGCAAGAAATGAACAGCTGAAATATGACAAATCTAAAATGTTCTTTAAGAAATGCTTGAGAGTTTTACAAACTGTATGTAATATGAGCAAAGATCCTTTTTTATTTTTTGCATGGAATGGTTCTTTTAATTCCCACGCACATTAAAATTCATCTTTATAAGCCAAATCCCATTAGTATTCCACTGCTTGCGGGAAAAAAATGTTTCGGAGTATCAGTTGCTTTGTTTAACCGCTAGAGGGAACTGTTTCTTGCGTACTGTATGGGATGAGTCGTTCTAACGGCAGGAGATTGTAAAGGAGAAGTACACGAAAGCTTTATATTAATTACATTATATTATATTAATCAGTTTTACAATTTTTGCATGCTTTATGTTGTGCATTTTCAGGGTGTAAGAGGCAGGGGGAACAAAATCCTCAGTAAATAATTTAAAAAAAAATAATTAAAAATTTAATTAATTAATATTAACGAGAATTTACATACAAAGCTGTGTATAAAATCAATGAACATTAAAAACAACAACAACATTATTGCTAAAACATTTCATACAATAAGTCACTTTTTAAAATATGTAGCAAAGTAAGATATGAGAAGAGAGTTTACTTCAATGATAAATTATTTTTTATTGATTTTTTAACAGGGGAAACAGTTAACATGCAGTTAACAGTTTAACAGCTAATAACAGTTAATTTTAACAGGAGAAAACATGCATATATACATACAAAATATATACATCCGTACATGCATAATAGATCTACCGCTTACATCTTACAACAAACAAAAAATCAGTCATATAATTATTACATCAATTATCTTTTTCAGCTAACAGAGATGTCTTTACTGTTGTTCCTTACAGAAATTAAAGTCATAAAAAAATCTTTAATTCAATGGAAAACAGTCTAACTGACATATTGTGTCATGTACGTGATTTTGATTGTATTGCCCAACTGGCATCACAATCCCTAAACTATTGTATCAGATATTCGAAAACAACTGATGAAATTTAAGACCAAATTTTTTTAGTATAAATTAAATAGGAGGGAAAAAATGCGTGTAAAACTGTTTCTGACTTCTGTTTTTGACGATGTGAAGTTTCTCCTGGTCGAGTCACAAGCTGGATGAGTGACATCATCAGGCAGCGACGCTTTCCGTACTGCGCATGCGTAAATGTCCGAGTCCTTGGACACAGCGAACGCTGTAGGTGAAGCGGTCTCGGAAGGGGCGTACAGTCAAAATGCAGACTTGGAACCATCTATACCGCACACTCGCTACGGTAATGACTGTTTATTTGGAACAGGACAGTATACTTATATGGTATATCCATACTCCGTTAGAATGAAAAGAGAACATTGTACACAGAAATGCAATGTTGTTACTGCGTAGGCCCAACATACTCGCATGTCATCGTGCACAGTTGTCATCCCATAAACACGAACGAAGCAGTTTAACCAAGAGTTTACAATACATACTTAGCCACACGAATTTACTTGTGTGTGTGTATATTATATATAATTTATTAATAGTGCTAATGCATATTTACACAACTTCGAATTTGTTCAGTGATCACTGGTTGAACTTGTAGGGGCGTATCGTTTACTGAATCTTTGGAGCTTTTTGATAACTTGCCATGTAGGCCACATTCTGATCCAGGTACACACCAAGTATTTAGCCTTTTTAGACATCATAAGCCTGTTCAAATACAATACTTAGTTGGGCGCCTACCTAAAATATGCCAGTGATGCCCAAAAGTGCAGTCTAGGTAGAAAGAACACTAGTTTTTGAGAGAGAGCCACATTTAGGGAATATTTATTTTGGGAAAATTAGTGACAACATATTTTAAAATAACATTTCTGGTCATGCATGTGCTATCTGTATCTTCCTAAATATGTAATAGTGCAAAAACAAACCGCAAACTGGAAATATTGGATGCAAATCAAAACTAAAGTGAAAAACCAAAGAAAAATTGTTTCGTTTTTATTATTTTTTAAATATTTCTATTTAGGTTTATTTTTGTTTCAGTGTTAGTTATTTTAGTACTTCAACTTACACTCATTTTATTTTAGTTAGTGGCCAAGGCAATATTTGTAATTTTCTTTTTTTTTAATCTAATATTTATATGGAGACATTTGAGGCCTGCCTTTATTGCAACATAATTATGCAACTGTTTAATACCTGTGATTAACTTTCTTTTGACCTTTATCCCTTTAAATGCTGACATTTATTTTTTCTATTTTTGTCTCGTTCTCCCTTTGGAATGTTTATTTTATTTTAAAGTGTATTCAAATATTTTGTTTGTCATTTGTAAGCATTAAAGTAGAGTACAGAGAAGCAATATCTGTATAATAAAATACAATTTTGTTGTTTCTATTCCTATCGTACAATACAGCGAGGTCAGCACCTCCCCAACAAGCTGCATGGAGCCACAGTCTTGTCTGTGAGAACATATGCTGATAAATCACCAAGTAAGATGACTTTAGTCATATCAGTACTGCCATATTCATAAACATTCAATGATGACCTTTATTTAAAAAACAGACAAGTTAAATGATATGAAATGCACTATTATGTAAATCCATATTCAAATAATCATTTGTCTTGTCATAGTTGATGCTGATGTCACAGTTGTGGGCTCTGGGCCGGGAGGATATGTCGCCGCCATCAAAGCAGCTCAGCTTGGCTTTAAGGTATCATTTTGACACCCCGATCACAGATGCCATCAGCTTTTCTTTGACTGCATTGGTAACATGCAACCTTCTTTCACAGACAGTATGCGTGGAAAAGAACGCAACCCTCGGGGGGACGTGCTTGAACGTGGGCTGCATCCCGTCAAAGGTTTGTGAATTTAAAAATGCCTTTCCAAAAAGCTTTTAACTTATGCATAACTTGATAGAATAAGCTTCTTTTTTTTACGCTTATTTAAGGCTCTGCTGAACAACTCGTACCTGTATCACTTGGCACACGGGAATGATTTCGAAAGCAGAGGCATTGAAAGTAAGTTCAAGTGTAAACATGCGATGTTTATTGTGACCTGTACCTCAAGGATATGCAGAAGCCAACAGATTCAAATGAGGCCATTTTAACTGTAATAAATGATAGTGGATTTGGGGTATCATGTCTTATTAAATCTGAATCATGTCTTTTTAAGTCTGGTAGTAAATCTAATTTATATTGATTTATTCTGCATTAGTTCAAGGGATCTCGTTGAATCTGGAGAAGATGATGGCACAGAAGAGTGGGGCTGTCAAAGCTCTGACAGGAGGAATCGCACACTTATTTAAACAGAACAAAGTGAGATTCAGTATTCATTTTCCCATTTGTTTTATCCGTTTATCCTTTAACGTGGTTGTGGATCAATACACTTTTTCAAGCCATACAAAATTATGTTGCAATCCCTAGGTAACTCACGTCAACGGTTTTGGACTGATAACTGGCAAGAATCAAGTAACTGCAAAGACTGAGGATGGAGAGCAAGTCATAAACACCAAGAACATCCTCATCGCTACTGGATCAGAGGTCACCCCCTTCCCAGGCATTGAGGTACATCAGCGATAGACAAGAACCTAAGCCTACATAGACAGCTGCCTTCTAAAGGCCCAGGTGTACTTCTTTTTCCGTGTTCTGCTTCATCTCGCGCATAGCCATTTCCGCACAGCTTTTAAAATATACTGTGCCACGCATGAGCACAGATAGAGGAGTTCGACACATGTGCAGTATCACTTAGTCGACTAATTCTGTCGTAACATTCACTTTGTGTCTGCGCTGTTGTGCACAGGCCATCCACAGGGACACAAAAATTGCTTATTTAAGGCTCGCAAACAGTGTGCGCGGACTAGGGGTGTGCGATTATATATCGTCTGCGATAATATCGTAATTGTTGTTTTAACGATGTGCGATTTGACATTATCGAGTATTTTGCAAAAACCATTCAAAACATCCCTACAGAGCGCATGCATATATTACGTGAAGTCTAGACTAGTGCGTGTAAAATATCGAGATATAATTTTTTGTCAATATCGCACACCCCTAGCGCGGACGTCCACTTCTTTTGACAAAAACTGTTTCACGCCGACAGTGTGCGGACCATTGAAGTGTACTTTGAGCTTAAGTGAGCAACCTGATCGATATGGAACCCACCCACGGAAACCTCAAATCACATGTGATATCAGTAGAGTTTGTCAGTTAGCAGCTTGCTAAACTAACTGCACAGAACTGTAATAAGGATAAAATACATAGCACACAGAAATATTTGGTAAAATAGCAAATTGTTAATTAGTTTAATAATTAATATTGATTTTTCTCTGTATATATATTTTTTGTACTGTAAGTTAGGGCTGCACGATTTGGGGGACAAAAAAAATCTTATTGCTTTTTTCTCTTCTGAGAAGAAAAATTATTATTGCTAAATAAAAAATATTATACAAAATAAGAAATATTACAATTTTAATATTTCACTGTACAAAAAAATGGGTATTTAAGAAAAAACAAATATTTTATTTTATAGTACAGCTGTAATATCATTCATTTTATTTCTTAATTTTCAAAGGTTAAACCATTGAGCTTTTATTTTTTTGGAACACCACAGGGAGCCCTTCCAAGCCGGTTTATAAGCGCTTCTTCTCATTAATTAAACTGCATTCTTTGTGATTTGATAATCGCACTAAGCTATATTGCGATTTCAGGTTTTTATTTAGATTAGTCACGCAAAAGATTATTTATGTTCAACCGTTTCCTTGCTTGGTCTGCTGTCTTGTATAATTATGGTCCCCTTTTGATAGATTGATGAAGACACCATTGTCTCCTCCACCGGCGCTTTGTCCCTCAAGAAGGTTCCAGAGGAGCTCATCGTGATTGGAGCTGGAGTCATTGGCGTAGAGTTGGTGAGTGAGTGACTGGATGATTTCAGGTGTTTCAGTCTCTATTCATCATAACACTAATCTAAATAGTTAATTTTGGTAATGAAACTGCATGTTTGTAACTTTAAAGGCTGATGATGTTTCTGAATTGGGTTTGATTATGGAAATCCATTTTGTTTGTTCCCAGGGGTCCGTGTGGCAGAGGCTGGGTGCCAAAGTTACAGCAGTGGAGTTCCTCGGCCACGTTGGCGGAATGGGCATCGACATGGAGATCTCCAAGAACTTCCAGCGAATTCTCCAGAAGCAGGGGTTGAAGTTCAAACTGAGCACCAAGGTCATGGGCGCCACCAGGAGACCTGACGGCAAGATCGATGTGGCGTGAGTGTGGCGTTTCTCCAGCTGCTGTTTGGGAACTAATTCATTTAGTGCTTTTGCCCATTTTGTTGTTTCCGCTGGTTAGTGTGGAAGCTGCAGCTGGTGGCAAGAACGAAACGCTCACCTGTGACGTTCTGCTGGTGTGCATTGGCCGCCGTCCCTTCACCAGTAACCTTGGCCTTGAGGCTGTCGGTATCGAACTGGATAACCGTGGGAGAATCCCTGTCAGTGGCCGTTTCCAGACCAAAGTGCCCAAGTATGGAGATTTGAAGTGAGTTTTCTTGTATACGTTGCGACAGACAAGTCCTAATATGCTTTGCAAATCTCTTATAGTATCTATGCCATCGGAGATGTTGTAGCTGGACCCATGTTGGCCCATAAAGCAGAAGATGAAGGTATCATTTGTGTCGAGGGAATGGCAGGAGGAGCCGTCCATATCGACTACAACTGTGTGCCCTCCGTTATATACACACACCCTGAAGTCGCCTGGGTCGGCAAGACTGAGGAACAGCTTAAAGAGGAAGTGAGTAGACTCCTTTTTATTTTAGCACACCTTTCTATTTAAGTTGCATGTCATATCAAACATTTTCTTCTAACATACATCACAAATAATTGCCTATTTTCCAGGGTGTGCCGTACAAGATAGGCAAATTTCCCTTCGCAGCCAACAGCAGAGCTAAGACGAATGCTGACACAGATGGACTGGTAAAGATCCTCAGCCACAAGGACACAGACAGGATGCTGGGAGCGCACATTCTGGGATCGGTAATGATCTGTCTGCTTTTGCTTTTCCTCTATAGGAGGTCATTTTTAATTACATAATTCATATTCAATTTTCATTTTACAGGGGGCAGGTGAGATGATTAATGAGGCTGCATTAGCTATGGAATATGGAGCATCATGTGAGGATGTTGCAAGAGTGTGTCACGCCCACCCCGTAAGTGTCCTGAATATAGTTTATTTTTAAATAACTTTTTAAAATTGTCAAATATTTAATTAATAAATAATAATATAATAATAAATAAATAAAATATCAGCATTAATAATAATTAAATAATTACAACATTGTTTATATATATTTTTCAAATGTGTTAGTCAATTTTCCTTTTGTAGAATAATTCATGCAAAAATGTTCATTAAAATATGTATTATTATTATTATTATTACATGTGTATTTAGACATACTTTAATGCAAAGCAATGCAGAAAAAATATTATTATTATTAATTGTAGCTTTATTCTTTTTTCCATGTGTTAACCAACCTTTTTCTTTTGCCCACTCAGTGTCTCTGAATGTAGTCTACTTTATTTTCTTTAAGTTACTATTACTAATAGACATTCTGAATAATGAGCTCACTAATCTAGCCCATTTTTTTTTTAAGGTTTTTTTTTTTTTACAATTTTAATTTTAAAATATGTATTATCATTATTTTTATTAATGATAAAAATATGTATTTAATATTTTCAACATTGTTTATATATATATATATACACACTTTTTTTATTTTATTTTATTTTTTTAAACGATGTTTATCAAACTTCCTCTTTCCCCAGACTGTATCAGAGGCCTTCAGAGAAGCTAACCTTGCTGCTTCGTTTGGAAAAGCTATCAACTTCTAGATTTTTTTCACATACACTTGTATATAAATACAGTATCTGCTACAGTTTTTTTTTTTCCAAACAAATCTGGATTTCTTCAATCTCTGAGCTTTCAGATGTACCCTTCATGCATACATCCAGAATAACCCCGTAAAACACTTAGTCTGTTATTTAAATGTCCTAATAAAGGAGTTTGGCTCTTATGTTGAACTTCGCTTGACTGAGAATATGATTTGGATTTTATAAATCAGTGTTGTTCACCGTTGGGTTATATGTAACACATTTCATACTGGTGGTCATAAATAGTCTCCTGAACACCAAAGCAATAATTTTGACGGTGGGAAAAATTGACTTTGGCTGTACTGAAATACATAGGAGATGAACAAAGAGGAACATCATTATGCAGTGTTAATTCTTGCTTTCATTAAGGGAGATATGCTTTGCATACAGTGTAAGATGTGTGAGGTTTTGAAAAGATTATTTAATGCAGTTTGTGGTGGGTAGTTGAAGGAATGCTCCAGGTTCAATATATCTATCAAAAGAATTTGTGGCATGTTGTCAGTTTAGCACAGAAAATAAATTTGACTCGTCCATCAGTTTTATGAAGGTAAAACAAAAATTCACTTACAGTGAGAGTCTATGGCAAAATTGTTAGTACAAATTGAGGGATGATGCAGTTTGGTGTCCGTATTATTAATCAGACATAAATTTTTCAGTCTAGCTAAAAATACTAAAAACGTAACTGCAAATTAATTTTAAGTTTCTAATTTGCCAACCAACTTTAATATCAGTCGGGTTAGATCAGGATGAAAAATATCACATAATCCTTCAAGACTATAATAAATAATGTCTATTATAATGTTTTTAAAAAAATCATATATTAATGTATTATCAATCAAAAACTGCAATAAAAATAGAAATAGAATTTCACTATCCTCATAGTTAAGATTGTTTATTACTATTTAAACAGAGAATGTGTGAAGAACTGAACTTTGAAGATCATTAACTGCAGAAGTAATTTCTTTTTTTTATAGGGAAGTAAACAATGTAATGTATTTTTAGGGTTTACAGTAATCCTGCATTTACTTTTATTTTGCAGAGTTCCCATCAAAAAAGTAAAATATTTGCTTTCCCTTGTTTGCATTTAAACATTTGCATCAGCCTTGTTTGCATTGTGTCAGCAAATAATTGTATATAGTTTACTTATTATTATTATTAAGACAAGAGCATAGGATAAGACAGGATTTGATGGAACAATATGCTAATAATATGAACATGGTTGTGATCATCATTTAGCCTAGAATAAATTCCTAAACTCAACTGCAGTTCCTTCTTTCAGGCCACCAGAGGTCAATGTCTCCTGCACAGTGCACACACACTCTAGTACTCTCATCTGTTATACATGGGTACCGAAGACGTCACTTCCGCTATGCTCGCCGACATTTTTGTGTCCGATATGACAACGAACACAGCACATCTGAGATTTAATAAATAATAATATATTCAAATAATAAATTACCGTTTACTACCATTTCCCACACTGAGCTTTGGACGTGATTGTATTTTTAGGACCCCAACATGGGTAGAGCAGGTGTAACAGTTGGGCCATACTAATGTAAGGTGCTGATTACTTGTAAATAAAAAAATAATAATGTAAAATTAAAAAAAAAAAAATTTAATTAGCTCAAAGCACTTTTGAGTCAATGATAGTGTAACAAGATAACTTTAGCTAGCTTACTACACAATTTAATGTTAATTTAGCTAACATTAACACAATTGATAATTAATCATTCTTTTTGGACAGCATTGTTTTATTTGAGAACATAGCCGCTCGAGGAAGGCTTGAAGAACCCTCTCCCGCTTCACAGTGCGGGACTAACGTTGGCGCTTTACCGACCGCGTTTTGATTTCGGCAAATTAGATGAGGTGAATGCAAACAACGTGATGATCATCAGCCAAACATCCAGCAAGCCAAAGAAAACATGCAGTCTACCTGAGGGAAGACATCTTTCACTTCTGGTGTATCTCATTGAAGCTCAAATTCAAGCAGCCCACATAGTTCTCATTAATTAAAAATATGCATTTCCATTCATTCATAGGTTATATGGCTGCAAGAACATTTTAGTTCAAATTCTTTTAAAAAATGCTTTACTGACTGATGTTTCAGACTTTCAGTTGTTATGCTTTCAAATTTTATGCCATATATATGTATGTACTATGTAGGCTAAGTAATTTCAGTATATCCACCTCCTAAATTACTACACTTGTGCAGGCAGTCACAGTTCACAATGGTACAATTTACTCAGGCATATGGTTTGTGTGTAAAGTGTGTGACTTTTTTTTTTTTTTGTATAACATTAAAATTATTTTTAGAATAACTGTACATAAATGGGTTAAACAAAACAAATGTGATTATTTTTGAGAACCTTTTATATATACTTTTTGTTTTTTTTATATATATACTAGTTTTTATATAAAATGCAGAAATGCCATACACTATCGTGTACAGTACAAATATTTTAGTGTCCTTTATTCTGTCCATTATTCTCCTATAAAGAATCACAATTGTCCCTTATTTTCCTTTTCTGAAGTTGGCAACCCTAGCTGCCAGTGATCCCTTCTGACTGAAGCCAACAATTTATTCTGCCAATCTTATACAGCTAACAGCACAACGTATCCCAAGCATATTGTAACCTTGATGGGAACCTTCCGGGAGTGTTTCGTTGATCTTCCTCTGGTAGTTGTGGCTGCTGTGACTGAAATAGGTCGTGCAGCTGTGACTCGGACACAAACATGGTGGTGATAAAGCACTGTGACGTCACATGGTCCGAATGAATTCACTCCTTCCTCATTTCCCTTATTACAGTAACCAAATATGGTCTATCACATGTTGAACACATTCCTGTTATTATTGTAATTATTATTACAACATTATTGGTCTGATAACCAGATAGTGCCCAAAACATTTGTCTTCTTTTTTAACAGTTTATTCTTGAATGATTTTTAAACCTAACAAACTTGTTAAAATGTTTTGCATGAATTGTGCTTGTGCAATATTTCCTAAAAATAAATGCTTATGGGTTCGACATTTTCCCAACCTAATGGAATTTTAAATTTGTGTTTTAAGTTTCCAAATACATTCTGGGGACAATGAGTATGTGTCTACTTCAGATACTTTATAATAAAGTAATGAAGAACAGGCCCCAAAAGTTATCACTAACGGCTTCGATCAGTTTGGATGCACTTACTGAACCATGCCCACTGAGACCTTCATGTTTTAGAATGTGGAAGCTGCTGTGAACGAAAGCAGGAAGGATGGGAGGCCTTCGGATGTATAGCCTGCTGTACCTGTTCTTCCTGAAGACCAGTCTCTGTCTTCCTTTCATGGTCTAAAAAAATAAACAGATTGGGTTAGAAATGGAAGTTATCCTTAAAGGAATAGTTCACCCAAAAATGAAAATCTGCTGAAAATTTACAAGATTGAATGTAAATTTCAAGATGTAAATGAGTTTATTTCTTCATTGTAACAGATTTGGAGAAATGTAGCATTATATCACTTGCTCACCAATGGATCCTCTGCAGTGAATGGGTGCCGTCAGAATGAGAATGTTTTTATCAGCTGTTTTTTTTTTTATCCAAACAACTGATAAAAACATCACAATAATCCACAAGTAATGCACATGACTCCAGTCCATTTGTGTTTGCAATAAACAAATCCATGATTAAAGAGATAGTTCACCCAAAAATGAAAAGATTAAGATATTTTTGATGAAATGAGAGCTTTCTGACCCTGCATTGACCGTAACAGAACTACCACATTCAAGAAGACTGAAACTGAAGAGATGAAATTGTTGAATAAAGTCATTATTTTTGTTTTCTTTGCGCACAGAAAGTATTCTCGTAGCTTCATAACATTAAGGTTGAACCACTGATGTCACATGGACTATTTTAATGATGTCCTCACTACTTTTTTGGGCCTTGAATGTGGTAGTTGCGTTGCTGTTCTATGCAGGGTCAGAAAGCTCTCGGATTTCATCAAAAATATCTTAATTTATGTTCCGAAGATGAATGAAGGTCTTACAGGTTTGGAACATGAAAGTGAGTAATTAATGACAGAATTTTCATTTTTGGGTGAACTAACCCTTTAAGACATTTTAACTTTAACCCATTGCTAAAATATCCGTTCTCTTGTTGCTTTCTCCAGTGAAACGTGGATTATTGAAACATGTGGATTATTTTGATGTTTTTATCAGCTGTTTGGACTCTCATTCTGACGGCACCCATTCACTGCAGAGGATCCGTTGGTGAGCAAGTGATATAATGCTCAATTTCTCCAAATCTGTTCCTATGAAGAAACAAACTCATCTACATCTTGGATGGCCTGAGGGAGAGTGCATTTTCAGCTAATATTCATTTTTAAGTGAACTATTCCATTAATATTAGTGCAGGAGTTGAAAAATACAAACTGAAGTCTATAGCTCACAACACAGACATTTAGATATGCAAGTATTTCACATTTCACTCTTCTCCCGTTCATAGCTGACAGGCACTCAGTAGCCTGGCTTCTAATTGTATTTCTCAGCAAAGGTCAGTAGGGAGATGGTTGTTATTGCTGGTATTATTGCTGCAAGACACTGTTTAACAGATGAAGTGTAACTGTCAACACTTCGTTTGACATTTTAGCGCCCATCCTTCCTGTTTCGTTGCTTTTACATTACCCTGAGTTCATAACTTATTTTAGTTTTCTCAGTTTAGATCAGCTTTCTGCAGGGGCTCATAAGCTGATAAAAAGCTAATAATTAATTATATTAAATATAAAATGAACAATTGCACAATATAGCTTAGCACATTTATCAAATCAAAGGCTGCAATTTAATTAATTAAATGTATATTTTGTTGCACTGCATGTTTCAGAGTGAAGTGTGACACTGTGTTTAGCACATACGTGTACAGCTGATGATCTGGTGCTTTCAGCATCTCAGAGCGTCTCGGTTCACAGTAAATGCAGTGAACTCCATCTCTGCATGTGCATTTAATGTGTGCTATAGGTTTCCTTTATTTATACACTCACATAACTTCCAACATTTTTGGAGAGAAGATTACAGAATTTCATCAGGACTCTGTCAAAATAAAAGCTTGATCATTTAAACTGTTGAAAGGTCGAGGGTTTGAATGTTTAAACGTTTGAAAGTGAAGAATTTAAGACAAAA